GGTTTAGGGTTTAGGGTTTTCGGTGTCCGTTTGGTCTTGGGGTTGAGGTTTAGGGTTTATGTTCAGGGTTTGGGGTTGGGGGCTTAAGTTTCGGGTTTCATTTGATTTTCTGCAATGACTTGATTTTGATATTGGTCTTTGGGGATTGCAGGTTTAAGGTTTGAGGCGTAGTGTTTGGGGCCATTCAGGGTTTCGGGTTCAGGGTTTCGTTGATTGCTTTTAACCTGGATCTTGAATAGCGTGTATGAGGCTTTGGAAAATTTTCACACGGCTGATGGTAGTTCGGAAATCTTCTGAAGACCTGTATTGTTGCTATTGCTTTCTGCAGTGGTCGATACACCGAGGGAGTGGGCATCTGACACATCGGCTTGGCATCGTTCGGTTCTGGCCACGGAGAGCTTTGCAGCTCGTCTTCTCTGCTCTGCTACACCACGGGTCAGCAATTGGCTGTGGAAATGGAGAGTTTCGTGCTTCAGGAAAATCCAGGGACTCAAACTTAGGGCGCTCATTTAGCACACGTCCCCCAAGTGATCCGGGACATTCGCTTTGGGATCCAACTGCGAGCGCCAGACCCAGCTGTAGATGAGTTCAATGAGACGCACGTTGCATAAAGAGAACATCCTCCTGCAACATGTTGTGTAAGCAGGCAGAAACGCCGTAAATAGCAGGGTTTGGAGTTGATTCGTGTAGGGTTTCGGACGTCCTGCGGTTCGCTTTGGCTGCGCAGGAAGTGAGTCGATGAGGCTAAACCCTAAACCCTAAACCCTAAACCCTAAACCCCTAAACCCCTAAACCCGAAACCCTAAACCCACAGTCTGACCATGGTGGCACCTGCCTATGGACACGCCTTGTTTTTGCTTGTCCGTTGTTCTGGTCGGTTTAGGGTTTAGGGTTTAGGGTTTAGGGTTTAGGGTACCAACGAAGGAGCTCCGCGATGCGGCGATCTTCTGTAGTAGGGCTACTAGAACATGCGCCCTGAGGCGGCTTTCGCCGATTGTGTGAAGCTCCTCCATTTCCCTGCCACAAGCAGAAGGTGGTTAACTGCCAGGCTGTCTTCAGGCCATTCCTACCCGTGCCCTTGTTTGTTACGACGCTGGTCGAAGTGGAGGAAGGCTGCCGCGTCCATGCATCACCAATACCCATCAAAAGGGACTAGAACGCCAAGAGCTTAGGATTAGGATTTACGGCCTTCTACTACTTGAGCCTTCTAATAACCGAGAAGCCCTAGAAACATACCCCAAATGCCCAACAGTGGGCACCATAACATCTCTATTCAGGCCTAGTTACAAGAAAGGCTTTCTGCGCAAGTGCTAGGCTAAGCCAGCGACTAAGTTCATCTCGAAGACGCCCTCGTCCCCGTGGATTTCAGAAAACTCGTCGAGCTTCTTGGCGGTGTCCTTGCCACCTAGGCACGGCTGTGGGGCTTCCTCTTAACAGATGAGGAGCTTCGAACCTCGGGTTCAGAGATGTACACGCCGCCTGGGACCAGCCAGTGACAGCTGCCGCTTCAAGAACCAAACCCCGCCGAGCCCCTGAATGTTTTGAAAGCATCAAGTGGAGTTACCAGTCCACGAATAAAGGTCATAACTGTAGTTGATCCTACTTATAACCCTGCTTTACAACTACCCATGAACCCCCAAACTAACCCTTCATAGGAACCCTTTCTGGCACCATCAAGGTTTCGGTGCTTGGGGCCGCGGCGTGTTGGTTTCAAGGCTTGGAGTTTCTAGTTGGCTGGGAGGCTCTGGAGCAGGATCCCTAAACCCCCAGCACAAAAAAACCCAAACCCTAAACCCTAAACCCTACTTTTAGGGTTTAGGGTTTAAGGTTTAGGACTAGTAAACCCTAAACCCTACTTTTAGGGTTTAGGGTTAAGTGTTTAGGACTAGTAAACCCTAAACCCTAAACCCAAGACCCTAAACCGAAGCCCAAAACCCTAAGATGCTTGGGGATGGCCAGGTTTCGCGGTCAACGCAGTTAGAACAATGGCGATAGGATTTTTTGCGGGGTCCCGGGTTCCGTTAAGGGCTCCTTTTTGAGGTATCAGACTACTTGCTAAAACCCAAGGCAGTTGGACGTCGCGGGTCTGGATAAATCGGTCGGAACATGAAGTTCGGTTTGTGCCGGACCTATGGGCTTAAGCTAAGCTTCTAAGATGGGCTTGAGATCTAGGGTTGTGAAGAAGCATGCATATGGGTGGTTGTCAAATTTTTGGTACCTTTTTGGGTCCTTATTATAAAACGGCACCTATTATTTAGGGCACCCCAAAAGGGACCAGAATTTTGACAACCACCCATATCGAGAACCTGAGCCTTTGTTTTTGCTAAACCCCTGCACTCATCAAACCTCTGAGCCCTAAACCCCATATACCCTAAACCCTAAACCCTAAACCCAAACCCTAAACCGTGAACCCTAAACCCCATACCCGAAACCCTAAACCCTAAACCCTAAACCCTAAATCCCTAAACCCTAAACCCTAAACCCCCATACCCGAAAGAAAAACCCCCCCTACAGCCGAAACTCGGGCCGCGGCCTGGGCCCAGCTGCGGCAGAACACCCAGCAGCCAGACGCCGGGTACGACCCCTGGAGGTTTGGGAGGTCCTCTAAGGGCTTTGGGTTTCGGGTTTAGCGGTTTAGGGGT